CAAAATCACCAGAAAAGAATATTCAAGTTTGACACGTTGCCATGGCAACAATATTTCAGATATCAATATCCCCTCGCCAGTTTTACATTGGCTGTGTTTTGACATTATTCTGAAGAAGTTTGAAGCAAATCGGGTAAAAATAAGATGCTGAATTCAAAGCATTTTGAAAATGACACACTTCCTGCTGCCAGTTGGTGGCGCTATAACTTTCAGTCATAATAGTCATAAACCGCTGAAGTTTCATCAAAATCAGATAATGTGTGCAATAGTTATTACACACATCCTGTTTATCATTTCTCGCCATAATTTCATCGCCTCGTCACAGGCAAACCGTTTGAGATATTAAAAATCCCTTCACAATTTAGCATCCCCAATGTCTTGAGGTCATGCTGACCGAGTTTGGTGGCCATCGTCCTAGGCCATCCTAGGAGGAGTATATCAAATTCCAGAGCATGCGCTTTTTATACAGCCCTGCATAGCCAACTTCCTGTTGGGCGGAGCCTATGACATGCAGTGCTAAAGTTGTTCGGCTCAATGAGATCTATATGTGTACCGAGATTCATATCAATACGTGTAATAAGTATGTGTGAGATATACATCAAGTTTTCTGACTGTGTTCCAGGGGGCGCCATAGAGCATTATACAGCCAATGAAAAAAAATAAATAAAAAAAACAGCATAGACATAATTATCGGTTATCTGTATTTAGCGGTTATCTGTTATTTTAAGCATTATATTTCATGATTAATATTATAATTAGCATTATAAATAGGAATGCAAAATATATTGGTGACCATATACAGCCAAAATGAATGAATGAATGAATGAAAATAGCACAGAGATAATTATTGGCTATTTGTAATTGTAAGCATTATAATTCAGGATTAATATTATAATAATGTTCCGCCAATAGACAGATGGATGGATGGATGGATAGATGGATAGATAGATTAAACAAAAATGATCGGTTATCTGTATCTGCTAAAATAAATAATATTATTAAACATGAACATAAATCATTATGTTAGCGATCAACAAAAAATAAAGTAACTGAAAAATAAAAAAATATTGTTAATAGCTATTAAACATAAAATAATTAAAAAAGAACAAGATTAAAACAATTATTATAATAATTATTAACAACTATCTGTTATCAATTTAAAAATAAAGTGCATAGGTGCATCTCTTTATTCATAAGATATATAAAATACCCAAAGAGCTTTTACAATAAACATTGTTTGGCTTTTCTACTGCCCAAATCTACGTAAATCTTAAAAGTCAATATAAAAGCCATTTTCTTCCATAATATGACATATGTCTGAATAAAACAGAATGAAGAAATCAATAAAGAAAAAAATAAACAATGAATTGTGGCAAGATTTTAGAAAGCAGCCTAAAAAAATGACTAAATAGGATGCGGGTGAGGATTACAAATCTTCTATTTACAGACACAATTAATCACGGGCCTGGAAAAACCATGAGCGTCTGCGAGCGTGTCGTATTAAACAGTTTGCTAATAAAAATATTTGTTTTCTAAAACAATTCATAATACCAATTCAAACAGACTGAAGGGGACGCAGAGGAACTGAACAGAATCTGACCTTAAACGCGTTACGAAACAAACCTAATGTCGTCGTCTCGTCTCATTAGGACAAGTTGTGCGCCATATGTGCCAGTCATCCATGTGAACTCAAGTGTGCTGCTTTGAACAATGGCCCCTATTAGCTAATGGAAATGTCGCAAATGTTTCCCCGTCCCAGTTAATTGGGCTAAAATGTCCACTTAAATGAAAATTCACCAAGCAAAGAGATAATGACACCCTGCGCTTAAAAAGAACAACGTTGTGTCGCAAATTGAACGCTCCTCAATTAATAAAGTCCAACAAGGATGCTTTAACGAGGCGAGCGTCTTGATAGTGTTAAAGCGGACGAAAGAGGCGAGAAATAAGATTCATTTCTGATGTGTTATTAGGCGGCTGCTGGACAAGATGCCCCACAATGGACAGGTGATTATGGGAAATGAGGTGGCAATAGTGGCTTTCTTGCATTCTCCACCTCCATTTCTCAGCTGGCTCTCGTTTTATCTGGGCTGAAGGAGAGCTCTCGGCGTTATGACCTCCTCAGGCGGCCGCGCTGAGATTACCGCCTTTGAAACGAGAGCTATTTGATGGGGAGATGCCGAGAGCGGACAGGAGAGAGACGCCGTCGACAAATTCACACCACGCCACTTCAAGGAGCCGCCGAGAAATGTCAGGGTAGGTGTAGCGTGCAAAGCCGGTGAAAATGAGGGCACTCTTTGAACTGGAGGATTTTGACGAAACAAAAGATCGTCTGCTTTGGAACAAGTCAAGGACGTGACGGCAAAAACATTTCATCAGTATCTGTTTTCAGTATTTATCGGTTATCTGTAATTATGATTAGCATTATAATTCAGGATTAATATTATAATTAGCACTGTAAATAGGAATGCACAATATATTGGTGATCATGTACAGCTAATATAAATAAATAAATAAACAAACAAACAGCATAGAGATAATTATCGGTTATCTGCATTTATCGTTATCTGTAATTATAAGCATTATAATTCAGGATTAATATTATAATTCACATTGTAAATAGGAATGCACAAGTTATTGGTGACCATAAACAGCTAAAATAAATAAATAAATATTTTTTTTAAAAACAGCATAGAGATAATTATCGGTTATCTGCATTGATCAGTTATCTGTAATTATAAGCATTATAAATGCATAATAAATTGCTTGCCAAATATAGGCTAAATAAATAAATATTTTTTTATAAAAGCATAATTATCGGTTATCCGTGTCCACAAAGATAAATAATAATATTAAACATTAATATAAATTGTTATGTTAGTAATCAGTAACAAAAAATGAAGACAATTAAAAAATGAAAAATAAATGGTTAATAATATAAAAATAATTTAACATAATTATCGGTTAACGTTTTAAAATTTCTACATTGGTGCATCACTTTGTTTATAAGAGATACATATATATATATAAAAAAATGCCCAAACAGCATTTATAATAGACATGTTGCGTTTTTCTTAAAAAATAATGTTTGGCTTTTCTATCTCCCAAAATAAAAAAATGTAAATCTTAAAAGTCAATATAAAATAAATTTTTCTTCCATGTCAGACTAGGTTTAACGTGCAAAGCCGGCAAAAATGAGGACGCTCTTTGAACTGAATGATTTGGACGAAGCAAAACATCCATTTTGTTTAGAGACAAGGGCGGTGATGGCAAAAATGTTCAATTTCATTTGGACGTTCAAAACCTTGAAATAAATATGAAATAAAGATGACTGACAGGCCGTACACGATTATTAACTAATCAACTGCATCAGTAGCGACACTAATTAGAAAAAACAGCAAGTGCACCTGAAATTGACAGTTAAATTAAAGTTAATTGACAATATATGTCACTCTGGCGCACTTCAAAGTACACATTCAAAAGGAGAATCTGACAAATGATACGAAAATAATGTCGAAATGCAAAAAAGCTCTATTTTCTTTATGCTAAATATTTTCCTTTTGATTTTTCATTTGATTTTGAGGTGAAATATGACCTAGAAATACATTTGACATAGGTTTTGTGAGATGAGTTCAGAGAAAAGTTCATGTTTCAAGTGATTGAGGTGGTTTGTTGATACCTGGGGTCTGGAAGTTGATTCGTCTCATCTCCACCGGGTCTGTGGGGTGGTGCGGGGTGATATCGGCGTTGTTCAGCAAACATTTCGTTCGTGGCTCTGACTCTTTACGTTTGCTGCTTTAGAAAAGGAAAGAAAATGCAAGGACTCAATGAAATCTGACAAACGAGACCGAAAAAGAACAAGTACACCAAATCACAAGTGCACAAAATGACCACCCAGTGTTTCCTGACCAATTCAGATCAATGACTCATGATTTAGAATGATTCATCAATCAGTTTGACTGATTCAATTAGTGCCATGCACTTATACTGTTAACAGGTATTAATAAAAGTCTGCACACTACTTTTTTGTCAGTATTTACCAGTGCAGAAAACACTGTTTATAGTCTATAATCGAGGAAGCTAGATGCTAGCACAAACAAAGCTATGTCCACAAACACCACAGCCGAGGGGCACATTGGTTGAACCCACCATTTCATTGCAGTGTTTTTCTCTGCCATCTAATTAAAAGTTGCCTTTATGCTGAGGCAGGTTGTTTTCTTTTGCCCCCTTGAAAACAGCAATAAAGTACAGCTAAGCCTTACCTGTCAGGCTTGCTGCTTCCAAAGAAAGCATTGAAGTGAAATAAAGATATAAAAGGGAGAAAACACAACAAGAGAACAAGGGAGAGGAGAGGAAGAAAATCAATAGAGTGCATTTAAATTCACAGGGTAGGCTAGCGGAGCCAGATTAGCTCATCTGCATTTGGACAGACCTGTAAAAGATGTGTGTTTGCACCCACCGGGGGGCTATACGATCTCCAGACACCAGAGGTCAAACTCAAGGTCCTGCCGAGGGAGGAAATACTAGCCAGGAATCGTCCGCTTTTAACCTGGCTCTAGAGGCACTAATGAGGAATAGCTTCCCTTTGATTTCAGCACGCTTGCATGCTAAAAGGTAAAGCGGTCTGCTTTGGCCGCGCTCTGAAGCTAACAGCTATTAGCTATCACCTCATTAATTTTTAATGCGATCGAATTGATTGCTCTGCTCAGCTCCGCTTTGAGCTTCTTCAAACTATGCCAACGCTGAGGGCTAAAATAAGCTTAAATCATTCTTTTAGCATTTCTGCACCTCAAAATGCATCTAGAGTGTCAGAGTGTAAGTTTGAAGACTGCTCCAACTACTCATTAACTGAAGAACTGAAATTTGTGACCGAAACTGAAATGTATAATTTATATTATATTACAATTACATTTACAAGTACAAGTACACAATTACAAGTACAATTATATTATATTAATATATTTATAAATGTCCTTACAAAATATCTGAATGAATAATAATAGAAAATAATATTTTATTTATTTTCTATTGAATTTATTGTGACCAAGACTTACATTTATAATTAAATTATATTAATAAACAAAAAAAATTATTATAAATGTCTGTACAAAACGTTTTAATGAATAAAACCAAACTATAGTATTTTATTATATTTACTTTCAATTTGATTAGATTTAAATTTATTGGGTCAGAAATTGATATTTATATAGATTTATATAATATAATATATCATTTTTATGAAGGCACAAATTTCAAGTATTAAAGATAATGAGAAGCTTAAATTAGTTCTCATTTTGACTGGTAGTGTAAATTGTACAAATCGAAATAGTTTATATTCATTAACATGTCAAAGGTCCACTCACTTCTTGTAGAGGAGAATCGCAATCACAATACAGATTATGAAGACCACAGCAAGAACGGGCCCCACCACCCAGATGAGTCCGTCCCCTCCCGTATCTATGGGCTGAGGGTCCACGTCTGGAGCTGTCACTGGATCCGTGTAGGGGCTGGACGCAAACGTTTTCTGCACAAAAGCAAAAAAAGGTTATAGCTATCTGCATTCGCCACTTTGCACGAGTCTTAAAACTTAAATTTCACTCACCCCTCCGGTGGTGTTGAGCTCAGCAAGGATAAAGAACACATATTCCTGCCCGGGGTCCAGAGGCCTGTTTTCAAAGCTGCTGTACACCATCTGGTTGCCCAGGGTGAAGGACGGCGGCATGGATGAGGGCTTACTTTCAATCTGATTAGATTTAAATTTATTGGGTCAGAAACTGAAATGTATAAATACATTATATTAACAGACATTGTAAATGTCTTTACAAAATATTTTAATTTATATAGTAATTAATTCTACTATTTGTCAATTGTAACTAATCATATTAATCTATAAATTATCATTATAAATGTCTTAACAAAAGCGTTTCAATGTAGTAATTTATTATAATATTTATTTTCAATTTGAATGAATTAAAAAAAAAATAAAAATATTTATTTTAACAAAATAATGTATAACTATTTTTCATAAAACAATAGATAAGACAATAATACATAAAATCATTTTATATTATTGTTTTTAAATAAAATGTTTTGTAAAGATTTGTTTTATAATATATATATATA